AGCAGCAAAAACCATTGTCATATTCGGAATCAGCATAGTCGATAACCTATTCTCCACTAGGTTTCAAGAAAAAAGCGAGCGGACACTTGGGGCAGTTCCCTCGTAAGTAGAACATCAACATATGAAAAGATTGATCACTTGTAAAAGGATCAGTTAAACAAAAGACAAAAATAGAGATGCGAAGCTTTTCTTGGAAAAATGAATCAGAAGGAAGTTTACCTCTAGAAAATGACTCGATGTGACTCGGATCAATTTTTGACTCGACAAGAAAGAGACGAGTTTTCTGTAACCTTTAGCAAGATTTGTCTTCTAGAACAAATGTTTTAGAAAACAAACTTTTAAATTTTTGTTCACATTTTCTTTTAGCTCTTGTACAACATGATCAAATCAAAAGTGAACTCGTCAAACAAAATGCTATACCGTTACTAGTTCGATGTACTATGGACACTAGATTTGATATTATTAAAGTTCAACAACGTGCATTAGAGATTCTATGGGCAATGACATTTAATGAAGAAGCTGCTAATATTCTAAAAGATGATCAAAATTTCATGGCAAATGTTAAATCTCTTCAAATGTCTAATGAAATAGGTGTCAAAAAAGCAGCTGACGGCATTATATGGATATTAGTACAAGAAGTTGAATTTATGAGAGAAAAAGCAGAAGAAGAAATAATAGATGCTCAATCAATTACTCCATCTTTATATAAATATGATATTATGATCAGTTATTCACATACCGACAAAGATTTATGCTATAAAATACAAGAACATTTAGTAAAAGATAAATTTCGTGTATGGCTTGATCGGGATAATCTCTATGGGTCACAAATGCAAGAAATGGCTAATGCTATTGAAAATTCAGAATTTATTTTTATCTGTACATCTCATGCATATAAACAAAGTGCCTATTGTCAATCGGAAGCTCACTATGCATATGAAAGACGTTGTCAATTGATACCGTTAAAAGTCATAGAAAAATATCGTCCAGATGGTTGGCTTGGCTTTATTCTTAGTGGTAAGGTATATATAGATTTTTCGAAAACAGATTTTGATAATGCCTATCAAAGATTGATGAGTGAAATTGACCGTTATCGTAATCAAGAAACGACAAAACAAGATTCAGATCATCACTTATCACATGGTAATCCGACTACCGAAACAAGTGAGAACAAGCCGTTAAAGTAAGTGATTAGAATTGTTAATGAGTATCTTTGATTAACTATTTCTATTTTTTAGCATCGCATCGAAAGAAAAGACGTCGTCTTACGATACAATTCGTTTAGAACAATGGACAGTAGAAAATGTTGTAGATTTTCTCAATGAAATGGAACTTGATGCGATGATACCCCTTTGTGAAAGTATGGATGGTCGACAATTATATGAAATGTATAAATTATGTAAATCAAATTCAGATTCAATGTATCAATCACTTAAATCTGAATTAAATGAGTTGCAAAATAAAACATTACCAATTCGAGTTTATGTTCGCTTTTTAGATACGTTAAGAAAATATGTTCCAATAACAAATGATGCACAATCAGTAATTTGTAATGTCATGTAGCAAGTAAACTATTTTATTAAAATAAAAGTAAAAGACGTATTCGATCATTGGAAGTATAGTTCTTTTCCGAACGAGAGATTGATATAATTCAAAAAAAAACTAAGAGGTTAAATATTCTAAATCGAAAATGTGCAAAAATTGTTAGTTTTTTAACCATTTTTGTTCTAATTTGCGAAATAGTGCAATCAAATTTGTTATATCGTATTTTCTTTATTTTTTGTGAATGACAGGATGTTTCATTTCCTTCGATATGCATAGGCTTGTATCCAAGATAAGCGGAGAAATATCATCATATCTCGCAATATAGAAGAAACGGTAGAAATTTCCTCAAGGTCGAGGCTCAGATTGCAAATATTTTGTTTACAAATAATTTCAAAGTTTAAATGAGCAAAAAACCTTTTTGTGGTATCAGTCATTTCGTACATTCAGATAAAAGTTCAGACTGGATTTATATGATCCCTAAAATCCCTTGGTTTTTGAAGTAAATTTGATTTTCTCGTCTTGAAATAATTTTATCAAAATAATGTCTACATATTCGGAATCAGCGTGAAAAACTGCTTCGCCTGATGTATGATTTGTGTAATTTCTAGTCAGTTTAATTTTTTCCAAAACTTTCTGGTAAAGGTCCACCTCAAGGATTTAATGTGGAAAAACATTTCTTTCAAAAATAATTTTTTGCGCTTTAGGTGGACTTTTCGGACGTGAAACGTCAATCTATTTCAAAAGTAATTTGTTTTCAGCTCGAAAAAACTAATTGCCCCCTTCTCTATGAGAAAATACCTATTGTCCGATACACATAAGCAATTACACCTCTTCCCAACCTCCCAGACAAAGAAAAACCCTGCATACACTTATTACTAAACAAACATCAAGTTTCTCACGAAGAAGTTCCCGTGAAGACGTATTGAGTTTCTGAAGTAAAAGGATGAGGTTCTTTTGAAGTAACATCGAGTACCTCATTGCAAAACATCAAGTTTCTGTGAAGAAACATCGAGTTTCTCAGGTTTAGCCGCCGTTCGACAGTTCTACTTTTCGACAGACAGTTTTCGACACGGTCGGATTTTTTGCTCGCAATTTGACAGTGTCGAAAGCCTGTTGAATTTCGAGTAAAAGCTTTAAACACTGTCGAATTTCATGCAAAAAATTTCGAACAACTAGAACGACAGATTTTTCGCTTCACTTCTCTACTAGACAAGCAAAAGCGTAAACACGTAGAGGCGTAGACAATTACTGCGTCTTTACGTCACTATTTCACTATGTCTCTAGGGAAAAAGCCACCAGTGGACTTCGGGACTGGACATTGAACGCGGTCTAGTGACTCACTCTCATGCCCCGGCACTTTTACATCATTACCCTTTTGTGTCTTTTTGAAATTTTTCAATGGAAATTCGACCGGCTTTTGACACTGTCGAATTTTTATTCCGTCAAAATTTTTCGCTCGAAATTCGTGAGTGTCGACACAAACTGCCGAAAAGTGTTTCTGTCGAATTGCAAAATTACCGTTTCTCATAAAGAAAGGAGAAGTTCTTCCGCCGATGCATCGGGTTTTTCCTGAAGAGAGATGAAGTTTTTGCAAAGAAACATCAAGTTTCTCACGATAAAAAATGAAGTTCTTATGAAGAAACATGGAGTTTCTCATGAAGATTAAGATTTTTGTAAATAAACATCAAGATTCTCACGATGAAAGATGGAGTTCCTGTGAAGAATCATCGATTTTCTTACAAAAAGACATGAAGTTCTTCGGGAAAAACATCGATTTGTTCAGGAAAAAGAATGGAGCTTCGCCGAAGAACCATCGAGTTTCTCGTGAAGATGCAGGGTTTGTGAAGAAACATTAAGTTTCTCACGAAGAAAGATAAAGTTCTTCCGCAGAAACGTCGAGTTTCTCGAGAAGAAAGATAAAGTTCTTGGGAAGAAACATCAGGTTTCTCTGGGCAAGATATGAACTTCCTGCAGTAAAACATCGAGTTTCTCGGGAAAAAGGATGACGTTCTTGTGAAGAAATATCTGGCTTCTCGTGCATACCAGGTAAGAAAATACATTTTCCCACTCCCTTTTTGAGTACCTGAAGTGAAAAATGGAAAAATATAAACAAAGCGGCATTACGTACGTAAGTTAAATTTGACAAAGTATGCATCTATAGATCCTGATCAATTTCTCAACTGAAACCCATTAAATCTTGTGTTCAACATACTCTACATTCTTTTCTCATGCCCATATATGTCATCCATAAATGTGCTTTTTTTATTTTTTAAAATAACAGAACGTCTGCAATTATTATCAGTACATACTTAACGACCAGCACGATTCGTGATCTACAAATTAGGGATCGGTCAAATAAGATGAGTGAATAAATGACTGTGACTTCTCGTATGCCGGCATATAGACTATTGATATTAGCTATCTTCTGTTCTCTTTCTTCTTTTCTATTCTTTTACTTCAATCAAGCGTCCATCTTTTTTTCGTTCGTCGTGTATAAAGACACTTTCTTGTCGACGTTCTTGGAAGATTCTTATTTCTTTTCATTTCAAAGAAGTTTATTTTTGATATAGTCACTCTGACTCATAAAGGTTCCAACTCTGATCTGCTACGATCGGCGTTCTGAACTATCGATTTGTGGCATGGCATATTTTTCCTCTTTTGTCGAGGGGCAGTTATTGATGTATTTACGTATTGGTATCTACCAACATACGATGAACCATGTAGCGTATATTATCTACGTCGTTTTAGATAATGATTCGAACGTTACTTATACATTAGTTTTTGTACAGCAAATAACTACCCAACTTTATCCCCATCCTTTTCATCGAATGAACTCAATTTTAAGAGTTATTTATGAAATAATTAGTGATCCCCTACAGAACTTGTCGGTATTACTTGAAAAAATAATTGAAATTGAACGAATTCGATGTATTTCGTGTACGTGACAGGTTGATGCCAACAACGTTTGAAGAAGTTTATCATCAATTCGAACGCGTGGCTATTCAACGATTACCTTCAACAAAAACTCGTATTCATACACGAATTATTGATCGAAATCTTTTATTCTTACTTGTGCACTAGTTCAGACGTTATCCGGCTTATCCTCAACTAAGTCTACTATTTGGCGTGAGACCAAAACAAATCAATCGACACATTCGTCGTTTTTTACCAGATTTAGCAGAAAGTCTTAAAGCAGAAATACGATGACCGTCATTGGTTGAATTCGATCAACAACTTTGCAGACATCCAGAAACTGGATGCTTTGTTGGATCAATCGACGGCATGCGTCACCGTATTCAGAGGCCAGGTTGGATCCCTTCATATTTTTAAACAATACCTTCAAATTAATCTTGTTTTCATATCTATAGGTTGAAATTTCAAAAAAATCTTAAAAGAAGATTTTTACTGTACATAAGTGCTGCAATTGTATCATGGAAATAAAGAGAATTACTGAGTTTTTTTCTGCACTCGTTTTAGGAAAAAGATCTAAGCGCTACTCAAAATCCAAAATTAAGACATATGTTTGGAACAAAATCTATTCACAAGAGTCCGGAAGAAAAGTTCGGTTTTTTATGTCTTCAGAAATTAGATTTAACAATGAGTAATGAAGAAGAAGCAGAAGAACCCCGCCTTGCGGTGTATAGTGCTGTCAGAAGACAGTTTCATTAGCCTGATACTTTTTCCTACAGCTGATGATCTCGGAGGAAGTTCACACGTTCCTTTACTAATCACCATGTTGTAGCTCTGGACAGAAGGCTTGTCTGACTCAGAGTTCTTCTCGCCCAATTGCTTGAGCTCCCCATACTCTCTCAACTAGGCTGACACACATTGAAAGCGTGTAAAGATTTTCACATCAATAGAGAAGAGTCTCCTCTACTCGAGAAGTTAAAACTTCGTTTGTTTGTGTCAAAAATTCTCCTGGACAAGTGAAATTCTCACGGAGGTATCGTTCGATCTTCTTCTATACATACGTGTAAAGGTCGACGATTCAGTCAGACTTCTCAGAACTCTGAAAAGTCTCACAAACGACAGGATTCAGACTGCTATATTCGACTTTTGTTACACTATTAGACTTTGAGACTATTAGACTTTTAGACTTTTATTAGACTCTTGTTAGACTATTAGCCTTTTCATTTTACATCTGAGTTAGACTTTTCCACTATTAGACTTTGACACTATTTATATATGAGTTCGACTTTGAACCTATTTAACTTTTAGACTTTTCATAGGCCTTTAGACTTTTTATTTTAGATCTGAGTCAGACTTTCAGGCTTTTGTTAGACCTTTTTAGACTTTTTGACTTTTCATCTTATATAGGAGCCAGACTTCGAGACCCTTAGACTTTTACACTTTTCTTCAACCTTTAGACTTTCAGACTTTACATTTAATATATCAGCGAGACTTTCAGACTATTAAACTTTTGTTAAGCTTTTCATTTTATATAGGAGAAACACTTACAGACTGTTAGAGTTTTACACATTAGCGCAAGGTCGACTTTTTATACGGAGAACAGAATCGGTTCAAATCTTTTTTCTGAAGAGCTTATTATATGACGGTCAGCAAAGTATCTCTCGATTCAAATCACTTTTCACATTTTGGCGCGAATAGTAGCGCGTTTTAAGTGGCGCCACTATTCACGCCAAATTGTGAAAAGTGATTTGAATCGAGAGATACTTTGCTGACCGTCATATAATAAGCTCTTCAGAAAAAAGATTTGAATCGATTCTGTTCTCCGTATAAAAAGTCGATCTTGCGCTAATGACTCTTCATCGACTTTTAGACATTTCATTTTATACGTGAGCTAGATTTTCAGATTTTGTTACACCTTTAGAGTTTTCATTTTATAGTTTTCACCTTACATATGAGTTAGACTTTGAGACTTTCGTTCGACTTTTCATTTTGTATAGGAGCCAGACGTTCAGACTATGAGACTTTGACACTTTTCTTAGACTTTTGCTAGACTTTACCTTCTATATATGAGTTAGACTTTCAGACTTTTAGACTTTTCATTTTATATT